GTAGAATGTGTCCATCCAGATGCGAGTCACTTTATGTAATAGGTAAAGAATATAAAAATAAGGAGTTTTATTTAGTTGAATCAAAAAAATCTAGTACATTAATACATGATAGAGAATATGATAATTAATAACTTGGGACTTGGAGATAAATAAAACTGAATGCTTATCCCAGGTATACCACTTGCTAACTGTGTGACCTTAGACAAGTTTTTTAACCACTCTGAAATTTAGTGTCCTCAGCTATGAAACAGGGAAACCTATAGTGCTTATTTCATTTTTATGATGATTAAATGAGGTAATGGGGACCAATAGCACAGTATTGGGCACAGAAAAAAAAAGTAAAATGTTTGCCATTTATCTTCCACTGAAGAGTCGATCTACTTAGGAAAGTATAGAAGCAACATATTAAAATAGGAGGAAGTAGAAATTTTGAATTCTTAAATGTGTAGAACAATGTTTATTTTCTACTCAATTTAAAAAATAAGAAGGAATCTAGAAACCTTGATCTGCCTGTTCATAACTTTCTTTGTACCCCTAGATTTCGCATGTGCACAAGATGGGGAGAGTGAGGCTGAATTAATACCTGACGACTTTGACGAAAAACCAGAAAGAGAAAAGAAGCATACCAACTTCACTTTGTGCAGCGTGTGTAACATTCAGCTGAATTCGGCTGCTCAAGCACAAATCCACTACAATGGCAAATCGCATCAAAAGAGATTAAAACAACTGAGCAATGGGATGCTGAAAAGTGACAACGGTAAGCTTTTCTATGAATATATTCTTGATTTTACATCATCAAATTATTTGTGTACCTGCAGATGTGAAAGCTAAAAGAATGGAATAATCTCTGTTTTTAAAAACCAGGAAAAAACATTAGATAAAAGCTTTATCAATATAGTAGAATAAAATAAATCATTTCTCTTTGAGGGAGAAGGAGAAATTTTGTTTGTTGTATATACTCAACTGTATTAGGATTGTGACCACCAGGAAATTCGCTATAATTTGAAAAGGTTGATTTCAGAGTTTATTGATGTTTGTTTTTAATATGTTTACATATGGAAACATCCTTTCACAGTGTATGTAAAAAACAGTGGCTTTTTGAAATTTTTTGTTTTTTGCAGGTGTGGAGGATTCAATTGGTTAGTAACACTGCAGTTGATTTGAAATAATACATATGCTTTCAAATAGATGTTTGGATGTTTTAATTGATAAACTATGATGTGTTAGTACAGACAGTGTTTAAATTTGCTAGTGAAAATTATTGGCTTGTTTAATAACTTTAGACCACTTTTTTAAAGTATGTGTTGAATTTGAGTGAACATATTTTTAAAATAGCACAAAAATACCTTTGGAAACAAATGGAAGGTTACTAGAAAATACAGACACGTGGGGAGAGGTGGGTGAACTTGTGCAGAGGGGACTTTGGAGAACTAATCTGTAAAAAGCTAGAGTTACAATATTGTATTCTGGTTGGCTGTTTTATA